GAGGCGGTGCTCCCGGGCCGGCACAGGTACAGGCGCGGGCGGAGAGGAGGAGACAGAGCAGAGCTGCTGAGTCCACCGGAGCATTGGAAATTGCATTTCACGGCCGGGCGGACTGGGATACCAACCCCAGCACCGCGCGCCGGGTGCTCGGAGAGGAGATAAGATTTGATTAAGAAGGCCGCTATTAATTTATGGCAAGTACGCTCATGATAGCGGAGAGGCTGCTTTTAATTAATAGCCAGAAGGAGAGTTTTAAAGCTCTTGGTCTCAGTGGGGGGAGAAGAGGAGGGAGGGGTAAAGCAGGGAAGGCAGGGAAGAAAGTAAGTTATGAGGATTAATGGACACATCTGCAATTATAAGTCTTTTTCTTAGTAAGAAGAAAAAAAAAACACATTAAAAGACACACCATGAGTGGGGGTGCGCAGGGTGGCCTGGCTGATCTGTCAGGCTGAGATGGGTAGGACTGTGCTGGGTGCCTTTGGCACTGCTCCGTGTGCCAGTGGGGACCGAGGCCACCCCATGGCCACCAGCCCAGCCTGGGGGGAGCAAGGGACGGCTGGGGTGTCCCCCGTGGCTGACCCTGTGCTCCTGGGCCAGCCCTTTCCACCGGGGTCAGGACCGAGGGCCAATGCTGGGATGGATATTGGCTTCAGTGGGTGATGGGCTGGGGAGGATGGATCTGTCCTGCCCCGCTGCCGGCCCCGTGTGAGCCCCAGGGATGCTGTGGCTGGGGCTGGAGCCCCCCCCAGCTGCCCCCTTCCCCACGGCACCGGGGGAGGTGGGGATGCCCATGTACCCGGGGCCATCCAGTCCTGGTGCAAATGGGAAGGAGAGTTCCTCAACCCCCAACTGGGTCCCTGCTCTGCAGCTTGTAGCCACGCAGCTTTGGGGGGGTGCAGACGTGCTCCCTCCTTGGGTGCAGGGCCGGGGGTCCCAGCAGAGCGGGGCTGGTGCCGCGTGAAGGGTGTCTTCCCCCATCGCATCTGGTGTGGCAGCACTGCCTTTCATCCCCCCCGTTTGAGCAAGCCAAGCCGAACACCACGCCGCGCCGTGCTGTGCCTCCCTCCCGCCACGCACGGCTCCTCCCGTGGGGCCACGCCACCGCCACGCCTCACCGGGGGCATTCGCGTGAGCCTGGCAGATTAGAGAGGAGCGAAGGCGCTTTGGCACGGCGCCTCGGCACGCTGCTGCCGGGCACCAAAACCCTTTGCTGGTGGGTTTTGCTGACAAACCTGCATTTGCTGGGTGGTAAGATGAAAGCTGGGCTCTGCTGAGAGCCCCGTGCCGGGGGGGTGTCACGGCATAGCCGCGCTCAGGGCTCCGATGTCCCTGCGGGTGAGCGGTGCTGCACGGGTGCAGGACGTGAGCTGCGATCCCTCCGTGCCAGATGAGGCTGGTATGGCCAGGGGCTGCTGTCCACCGGCGGAGCAAATGGGCGCTGGCAAGCAGGGACCGCACATGCGGCCAGTTTGGGGGGGCCGTGCTCTGGGGGTAGCGGCACAGGTTGCTTTGTGTCTGCTCAGGTGCTGGGAGGGGGGTGAGTGGG